CAGAAGGGCTTCCTGGATCCGCCTATGTTTAGAAGAAGTTGACTGTTACGTTTATCTTGGCCAGAAGATAAGTACATAACACATTCTCCGGTCTAAAATTGCGCGTAGAAAGGCTGTCGATTGATGCGTTTCACAGTGTCTGAAGTGAAGAAAAAACCGTGCTAACCTTTATTACCGTATTTTTAAAAGCGATGATTTTGCATAACGAAACGTGATCGGTGATGAAATTAGAAGAACGAGCATTGTTCATGACAAAAAAAAGCAAAAAAGAGGGATTCTGTGTCTTTTTAGTGTAACGTGGTAATTTCACTTGCAGCTGAATTGTTTGGATCAAGGAAGTTGGATGGAGGTGGTCGAGGAGCGGTATATCAGTAAAATCTGTGGTTTTCCGTTATGCTCAAATCCCGTTGAAGTAAAATTCTCCCAGAAATACCGTATTGATGTGAAAAACAAAAAGGTTCCGCTGCAAATTCGCTTTTTTTTCGATAAGCAATTTTAACTAATATTAGTTGTTGACCGGGCAAAGGAATTCTCAGTGATAGCTGAGAATTCGTTCTTCGGGATTAATTCCGACTAATTTTTGCCAGGTATATGAGCGGTCTGCAGAAGTGGACAAATTCTGTTGCCAGAATTGTTTTTTGCGATCTGCCGTACTGAGAGCACAACTTGATACCGAACCGTTATGGATCAGAGGCGACGAACACAGTACGTGATTTTTTTTTGCTGACCTACGATACTTAATTCGAAATACAGTTGATATTCTATCTTTTTGGCTATAATTTTTGATATAAAAATTCATGAGATTACTATTTTTGATATAAAAACTCATGAGATTACTATTTTTGATATAAAAACTCATGAGATTACTATTTTCGATATAAAAACTCATGATTGTTGCGTGATTACTATTTGCTTTTTGTTTTTGTTATCAACTCCGACTTTATTATTTCAAATTCAATTTACGGCACAATACCGCAGGTTTATTCGCCACACAAGACATTAATTTATATTCGTCATCAAAGTCACGTTTGCTTTTCATGTTTCATTTTCACATATTTTTATGTGTTTTTATGCGTTTTATGCTGTGTAACAGCAGTGCAAAACTCATATTGTCACCGGGTTGTCTGTGTGTGTGTTTGTCCGCAGCAACTTGTCCGCAACTTTCAACTCGGGAACCACAAAAGCTAGGAAGCTGGAAATTTAGGGTAACGTTTCTCCGCAGCAACTTGTCCGCAACTTTCAACTCGGGAACCACAAAAGCTAGGAAGCTGAAAATTTAGGCGAACATTCCCCACCCACGTGTGACCCAGCAAATTTAAATTCAGCTTCCCCGCACCCGTGAGTAACGCGTACGGCCCCACGAAAGTTTTTTACGGGTAAGTTAATATCTCGGGAACCACGGAGTCTAGGAGGCTAAAATTTTAGAGTAATGACCTCCTGCCCACGCTCAACCTTGCTCATTCAAATTCAGCCTTCCCATACCCGCGGATAACACGTGCGACCCTGTGAAATTTTTTTACGGGTAAGTTAGTATCTCAGGAACCACGGAGTCTGGGGGGCTGAAATTTTAGGATAATGACCCTCTGCTCACGTTCAGCCTTGCCCATTCAAATTCAGCCTTCCTTTACTCATGGGTAATACTACGGCCCCGTGAAAGTTTTTCACGGGTAAGTTAATATCTCGGGAATCACAGAGTCTAGGAGGCTGAAATTTTAGGGGAATGACCCCCTGCCCCCGCTCAACGTTAGCCATCCAAATTCAGCGTTTTCGCGCACTCGGATACCACCTACGGCCTCGTGAAAATTTTGACGGGTAAACTATTAACTCGGGAATCACGGGCATCCTTCAAGGTTTCGAATTCAGCTTTCATGCGCTGGTGCGTGAAATTTCTAACCATTTTTCAATGTTTCAACTATTTTTGCATAGATTAAAGTACAAAGCAGTGAAAATCATTAATAGGCAGTTGTCCGATGGGCTGAAATGCACAAAACGCATGATTGCACCAGCTAGTCTGGTGCGCGTTGCTATTTATTTTACATCTGTGCAGTGCAAAAACGCATATTTTCGAGGAGCTGCCTGTGTGTATGTGCGTCTGTATGGATTTTTCATCTCGAGACCTACAAAAGCTACAAGGCTGATACTTCGGGAACTTAATCTACATGCATTTGCAGGTCCTTACTTCCAAAATGGACAGTCTTGCCCACGTGATTCCCACTTGTGGGTCCATATAAATTTTTTGTAACATGTTTACTCCGGAACCTGAAAAGTTGGAAAACCGAAATTTTAAGAGGATGTTTTCTTTCAGTTGTGCTGGTCAATCTCAGTTCTTTTAGTTACAAGCATCTGCCGGAAAAACCAGTGCCATTAGCGACAAAAACCTGCGGGGAACTGTGCAAAAAATGCATCTTCGCACCGGTAGTCGATGCGCTGGCCAATTATTAATGTTGAAAATCAGTGGTTCGTCTCCTTCACTGGAACATTTTCTACTATTTGTTCATGCGTTTAATTGGTACTGGTACATGCCACGGAATCAAAACTGCCGTCAGCTTGTTTGTAAGAAATGCTCGGAAAGTGGGAACAGTCGAAAATTTACTAGGAATTGGCCGCCCATGGCACTTGTTACCATTCGGGCTTATTCCGAGTGCTTCTGTTTCTTGCAAAAAGCGTATATTTTGATATTCTGTCTTATTTCACTTCTTTCAGAAAGGACATTTGATTTGAATATTCCAGTCACGAAACAGAGGCATGAAAGCTCAAATGACATTGAATTTGTTAGAGAGCAGCACTTGATCAAAACGCTTACGGATTTGAAGGTATTTTCTATCCCTTTCTTTTTCCTGCAACTCCTCTCGCATAAGTAGCTTCCTGCATAGTTCTCGTGTTGCTTGTTTTGTAATTTTTGATCAACTCCGTCGATTAACTGTTTACTGGTAACTTTAGGTAACCTTACTCTGAGTAATTGGTAACTTCAGATCGGTGACACTGCGGAATCTGATGAAGATGATGAAAAAGAGGACAATGACAACGATGACGATATTCACGACGAGTTTTCTAATCGTTGCTGGTCTTTTCTTTCCCAGAAACCTGCGACATCCAGTGATACGCAAACTAAGCCAGAAACTCAAAATGCTGCGGGCAAAACCGTGCAGAAAATGGACACAAATACGGTTTGTTTGATATCTTTGCAAATTTTAATAATTGGCCAACGCACGAGCTGCCCGTGCGAAGATGCGTTTTTTGCATAGCTCTCCGCAGATTTTTGTCCTTAACTGCACTGGTTTTTCCAGCAGATGCGTCTAGCTAAAAGAATTTCAGACTGGCCGCCAAGATTGTCAAGGAATATCTCTTCTTGCTTCTCAGGCTTCCGAGTTGGCAACTTACTGAAAAAAGTTTTGGCGGGCCCGTACGTGGGTATCACGCATACCCGGTGTCTGAGTTTGAGCTCACTGAGGCTTAAGTGGGCAGGAAATATCCTCTTAAAATTACAGTCTTCTGGCTTTCCAAATTCTCGAGTTAGGGACTTACACGAAAAAAATTTTGACGTGCTCGCACGTGGGTACCACGCATACTCGAGGGCAGGCTTTGGATTGGTAGGAGACTTACGTGGACAGGTAATATCACCTTGAAATTTTAGCCTTTTAGCTTTTCTGGTTCACGAGTTAACGACTTACCTGAAAAAAACTTTGGCGGGTCCGTACGTGGGAACCACGTGGGTAAGAGCGCCCATTTTGGGGATTGGGGCCGGTACGTGCATGTAGATTAAGTTCCCAGAGTTTCAGCCCTGTAGCTTTTGTAGGTTTTGAGATGAAAAACCGTGACAGACGC